CTACACGACCTTCCAGGTCACTGGTCCCCCAAGGGAACCACAGAGCAGGAAAAAGCCAGTGGGCTGCAGGGGGAACAGCAAGTACCTGGCTGGTAGATAGGCAGAGGCGGGCATCTGTGCTTAGGAGCTAGCTGCATGGCTTAGCTTGTCCACAGGTTAACTTTCTGCCTTGAATGGAAGGAGCAGACTGTAGCACAATGAGTGGTTAATGCATGTGGACCACACATGGCCAACGCAGTGTTCAAGACCAGACCAGGACAGGGCTGCTCAAAAGAGGCTGAGTGGGTGTACATGCACAAAATGCAGAGGTGAATGGAGAGGGATTACAACGTGCCTATCCTCTGGGGGGAGCAGGGAGAGGGCTCACTTTCCCTCTAGCTAGCTGGGGCTTGTAGCAGATTAAAAATAAAAAATACTCAGCTTTTCCTCTTGACAAGCCCCATCTCTCTTGGCTATCAGGCCCTCAGTGGGGGCACCATCCTTGCAGATATGCTTCATGCCCCTCAAGGCATCCCACTTCTCCTTGGCTGAGGGACAGGAGCCTCACTGAAGTGCCACAGAACTCTCCCTTGCCCAGGGCCTGCTATCCTGGCACCCACTGCAAGGACCTGTTGTGGTCCAGCCCAGAGACAGAGGAAACAGAACCATCCCTCACTCCAGTGTGCTCGTGCACCTTTATTCTCAAGGCTGTCCCTGCCTCCCCCAGCCGTACAGGAATGCATGGTCCAATGATGCCCACGTGTTCTCTTTAACGTCATATTACAGCTTCCAGGCCATGCAGGTGATACCCCAGGCACTAGGCAAGGGCCATGGCTAAGATGTTCCTGGGGTCTCACAGCACAAGGGGAAGGAGTGGAGGGGGCTTCCTGGACCATCCATTCTCCCAACCCTCCCAGGCACAGAAGTGGGAGACAGCAGTAGAGGATCCACCCAGGCCTTGTAGTTCCCAGTGCCAGGCGGGGGGTAGCTTCCATAATTAGTCTGCAAGGAGGCTGCTGGGAACCCTCAACATGAATTCCAGTCAAGTGTTTCCTCCAGGAGTCAATGAAATGTGCCAGCATCCCCCGCCGATAAGGGGAAGGGGAAGGCAACTGAGGCAGAGCAAGCCCCATCCCAAGGAGGCCAAGGGGAGGCAGAGGTGGGGACAGCCCATCTAGGCAGAACTCATTGGCTGTAAGAACTGGGTATGTTGGGCCCGGTGGACTCTCCAGGTGGAGGAAGGTTTTCCTCTTTAGCCTCTGAGATGTGACTCAGGCCTTGAGCCACCGGCTCCTCAGTGGAATGTTCACAGGCACCTAGACAGGCAGGGAAGAGACCCCCAAATGTTCAGGATGGGCAGTGTCCACCCTTTACTGTGTTGTCCCTCTGGAGGAAGGGGAGTCTTGAAGCTCCACCCCTACCGGGGGCATATCCTATCTGCATTATCTGCCCACCCAGCCTCTCTTGCCCACCACTGGACAGTGTGCTCAAGGGGCAGGGTGGGAGCAAATATGAAGCTGCTGTAGGCGGCACAAGGCCCACAAAGGAGCATTCCCAAACAGTGCACTTCTAGAACGCCCCAGCCCTGCCCACCCAGAGCTGAGCCCCATCGGAGCCAGGCTCCCCAGCCCCTCCAGTGCTCCTTGGGTCTTGACATAGCTGGTACAGGAAGGGGTCGGACAGTCCCATTAGCATGCCTGATTTTTCCTTCTTTATTAAATGACTGTTTCAAGATGTAATTACAGTTGAAGGTGACATGTTAGAAAGGACAGGTGCATTGAAGGCATAAGAGTGCTCAGAGACCCGGCTCTAGAAATGGGGCAGGAGAGGAACAAGATTAAAAAGGAGCGAGCTGTGCAGCCCACAGTTGGGGGTGGGGTGGGCGGACACAGCCACCCAGCTCGGCCAGGCTGAGCCTCTGGGTGAGCAGCCCTCAGGAGAGGCCTGGCTGAGCAGGCAGAACTCCCAAAGGGGCCCCAGAAGCAGAGGGACCCCTGTCCTGCAGTCCTCAAGGCCTGGGCCGGCTTCACTCACACACGCCACCTACATGTGACGTCAGCCCCAAGAAGGTAACAGGAAAGTTGAGAACAAAAACAAAACCTCAAAAGTAAAAAGGCTAAGTGTAGCAGAGTAATACCGGAAACGTTATATACACAGGCGGTGATGGCCCCTTCAGAAGTGTCCGGGTCACTTTGGGGGCACTGTAGGGGTCCCTGTAGCCAGATCTGCAGGGGGCCTCAGTACACAGAGCTGTTCCGGATGCCACAGCACAGCACCATGCTCAGGATCATCTCAAAGATCTGTGGGGAGGAGGCAGGTGGGGTGTAGTCAGCATCCAGGGGACCATGGGAGGGGCAGCCCCCACTGAGCAGATGCTCCTCCTGCCCCGGTCAGCTCACCATGATCACAGCGACCACGATGGCCGCGATGCCGATGAGGTACAGCTTCCCAGAGAAGAGGTCATCTATCTTCTGGTGGCAGTCCTCCTGCAGGGGGCAGTCAGAGAGCAGTTGGGGGACTGGCCTTGGCTCCCAGCCGCCTCTTGCCACGCAACACTCGTGATCATTGTGGAAAGCCCAGGTTACTCAGCCATGATCTCCCACCCACATCAGAAAAGGGGAGCGCCACGGCCAGGCCTCTACTTGGCTATCTTCCATCCATTTCAAAATAAACCCAAACACACGTGTCAGGCTGCCTGTGCCCTTTCCCATGGTCGGTGTCGTCCGTGCCGTAAGTTACACTGTTGTACGCCACATGCACAGGCATTCGGGATTTCCATAGTACAGCAGCCTCTGGGCACCACTAGGTATAGGGGCTAACCCCAGTGGTCAGGATCCCCACACCCCACCAATGTGCTCAGAGGGCTGTGGGCCTGGGAGAGCCTGCCCTTCCTGAGAACTCCGGCACAGCTGCTGCCTTGCTGTGGGCGAGGCTCAGGCTCACCCAACCCTCCAGACTGCACAGCCCTCAGGTGGGCCACAGCAGTGTCTACTGTGACTGCTCCCTGCCACTGTTAGCAGGGGACCCCTGCACAGCTACGCCACCACCCACAACCCCACCCAGGAATGTGGAGTTGGTGGGGGGAGCAGATCTGCCCCCACTTCCGGGGAGACCCCGCTCTTGTCATGTACCTTAAACAAGTTGCTGATGACGTTGCTGCCTGAGGGACACAGGTTGTTCTTCAGCACTGAGGTGGTCAGGGTGAACAGCGTGCCAGAACCACAGCAGTTGAGCTGCACGAACCGAGGGAACCACATCAGCCGTGGGCATGTGCAGGGAGGTGATGGCCAAACATCCAGGGAGCAGCCTTCCTCCCCACTGAGCTATGCTGCTCAGAGACCCTGTGCCCCTGGCCCACCAGGTCTCACTTGGGGACCCAAAACAGAAGACCATCCACAACCCCAGCCAGGTGCCAAAGGCACCTCCTGTTCCCGAGGCCCTGGGTGAGGCAGAGCTCATCTAAGAACACATCTTGTACCCAGGGTCCCCGAGGCCCCTGCCCTCACCGTCTCGTGGAAAGTCTTCACCACGGCCTTGGCGTTGTTGGCTTCGTCATCCACCACAGCCTGCTGTAGGGCCTGGTCGTAGAACTGCTTCACGTCCTTGGCGATCTGGGGGAGGGGTGTGGTCGCTCACTCAGTACAACGGGGACCTCCCAGCTGGGCAGGCCTTCCTGCCCACATCCCAACAGTGTGTGCCCAAGGAGCAAGAGAGGAGTGCAGGTACACTTCCAGATCAGATCCCAAGGTGAGGGCTCTGACTCTCAGCTGTGCTCTGCCCGCCCAATACTGCCTCCCATAGAAGGCCCCCCAAGACCTTCCTATCAAGAGGACCCCAAGGAGTACCCCACAAATGGCGGTGGAGAGTGACCCATCACCCACAATCTGAGCAGACGACATTCCTCTCCCTACTCCAGGCTCTCCCGGAGGACCCTGGCTTACCTGGTCCTTGTTGACAAAGCCCCAGATGCCGGCGGCCACCTCACAGGCAAAGAGGATCACCAGGCAGGTGAAGAACTAGGAGGGCCCAGAAGAGATGGCAGAGAAAGAGAGTCAGCCCAGTAGGCAGCTTGGGGCTTGCCTTCTACAGAGAACAAAAGCCCAGTGACCAAGAGTGTGTGTGGGTGTGTGTGGAGGGGGTTGGCAACATCCAATCTCGTCCTAACAAGGATTAGCCATGAGAAGCCAAGAAGGACAAGCCTAAGCCTTGGCCCCAGCAAGGAGGTGTCAGGTACTTTCTGTCCCCACACAGCCCAAGACCTGCAGATCGGGCTTCTGGAGCAAGGAGAGCTCAGCGACCCCCAGGGAGGTGCACCAGAGTACGATCCTGCCCTGCCCATCCCCTTCTCCTGCCCCCACTGGGACCTCTGTTTCTCCCTCTGGAGACACTGGTACGAGCTCCCCTGACACAGCCTGGCCTCAACTCCCCGTTAGTGGGTGGCACGTCAGGGACTCCAGAGCCTGTCTTAGGGCTGACTTAATTCTTACTGAGTTTGTGGCTTTTTTTAAAAAAGAAAGAAAAACAAAGGTCACTTTGGAATTTGGGCTTAGGAAGCAGACACAATGGAGATCAGCCATCTTGGGATTTAAGAGCCAAACAGGAAAACCAGGAAGCTTCCTGGGGCAGAGGCCAAGGCCACCCTGTGATGCCTTTTTCAGGGCCAGCTGGGCAAGGGGGAGGTGCCCGAGCCCCACACTGAGGCCCGCTGGATGGAACCAGAGCTGCCCCCACTGGAGGCAGTTGGTTCTGCCCTTCAGAGCCCACTCTGTGGACCCTGCTGACCTCCTGGATTGGCTGAATACAGCTCCCACCCCAGCCAAGGGCTGGGCCGACTCTCAAGCTTACCGTCCCCAGCAGGCACTGGGACTCCTGGATGGCCCCGTAGCAGCCCAGGAAGCCCACGAACATCATCACGGCACCCACGGCAATGAGGATGTAGATGCCTTCATGGAGGGGAAAGAGGTACCTCGTGAGCTGTCACCCAGACACCCTCCCGGCCAAGCACATGTGCCTCGGTTTCTCTTCCGTGACGTGGGAGGGAGACTGACACTGCTGAGCTGAGGACCGAACAGCATCAAGGCAGTGCTCTGTGCATCAGCCACCATGCTTTACAGGGATGACAGCCTACAGTGTGGCCCACCACCCACAAGCTGCCCCGAGCCTCTGGGACTCAGTGTGGAGGCCAAGAAGGACCATCCTAGAGTGGGGCCGATGCCTCTGAGGTGCACGGAGGCCTGGCAGCTGACACTGACTCCCTGGTGGTGGCCAGGAGGTGGTGTGTAGGAGAGGCCTCACTGGCCTGCTGTCCCCCATGCCGGCTACATGGCAGCCCCACTTCAGCTGTCCATGATCTTAGGGAAACCAGCATTTGCACCTGATGCTCTGGGTGGCTATGCTGGAGAGGGATGGGGTTCCATCTGTGTTTGAGGGCCCCATCCTGAAGGCTGCAGCCTCAGTTGGCCTGCCTGACCTGCCCATGCCTACTGAGCTGGGGAGCATGTTTCTGAAGCGGGGCTGAGAAACAAAGGGGGCCAGCAGTTAGCATAATGGCTATGTTGCTGGACTCCCATGTAGTCGACCGTGGTTCACGTCCCGGATCCGGTGGCTTAAAACTCGCGCCGGGAGCATGTACGTGCATGCCCAAGATCCCGAGAGAAGAGGACTCCCACGTAGTCGACCATGGTTCGCGTCCCAGACCCGGTGGCTTAAAACTCATGCCAGGCACGTGTGCGTGTGTGCCCAAGATACCGAGAGGAGAATGGAGGAGAAGGAATTGCCGCGTGACCATCCCCCCTGGGGGGTGATTTCTCGCTTTCTGTCTCTATGTCTCTCCCTGTCTGGCGAGCACATGCACCCTATAGCGAAAACCTCCAAAAAAAAAAAAAAAAGAGCCCCCAAAGGGCTGAAGAGACATTCATCCTGGTTATTGCACTTCTTGGTGCCCTTGGCCCACCCAGGCAGGGTCCAGTGCCCCTGGGGAAACACGGGCAGTGTCTTTCCAGGGCCCTCCCATGCCCCTGGTCCCTCAGCAGACTGGGGCCTATTCCCTAGTCGCCATGGCAATGCGGGCAGGCAGTCCAAGCCTCCTTATACAAAATAAGGCCCATTGTCCCTGGCCAGTCCAAGGCAGAAGGACCTGGCAAGCTCAGAAGATGCCTAGACTTAGGGGTCAGCATCCCAGGCCTCCTTCCTGGCCAGGTGAAGCCTTTTGGCTGGCAGTGATCACACCTTGCCAAGGGGATGCTGCCCACCAGAGACACTGTGCAGGTGGCACCCCCCTGCGGGGATGGTATCCTCAAGCTGGGTCTTCCTCCTCTCAGTTTCTAAC